TATCTCAAAAAGTGATAAAATACTTGAATATCTTTCAGACTATATACATAATACAATGTTCCCTCAGTCCAGCCACAGGTAAATTATGGCTTAGTTATCAGGAAAATGGATATTAATACTATAATGATCTACCACTTACACTGTCACGAGATTGGTTAAAATGGAAAAGATTGACAATTCCAAGTGTCGGCAAGGATATGAAACAACTGAAACCATCATATACTGCTCATGGGTGTACAAATTGGTACAACCACTGTGGAAAATTGTTTTATAGTGTTTACTTTTTCATATGCATATCATATTACCCATTCTATTTATCAAAGAAAAATGCATACTTATGTGTACCAAAGGTACAAAGAAGGATGTGTATAGCAGCACTAACCTGAATAACCCCAACTGGAAACAACCCAATGCCTACCAACAGTAGAGCCCATCAATCAACTGTGGTTTATCCATACAAGGAATGCTGTATGTACAGCAAAGAAAATCCAACCAATTTCCAAAATATACACAGATGAATATAACAATCGTATGATTGAAGGAATTAAGATACAAAATGATTCCATTTATATAAAACTTCAAAAACAGGTAAAACAAATATATGGTATCATCAGAAGGACAGACAGTGGTTATCTTTAGTAAGGAAAAATGGGAACATTTGGATGGTGCTTCCACAAGTGTGTTTACTTTGCGTAGAAAAGTGAGACTGAACACATGATTTTTGTTCTTTTGGTAAATCTGTTACATGATCAATAAGGGTTTTGTAAATTTATTTAAGTTTCAATGAGGTATAACTGGGAAATGAAATTGTTCATATTCTAACTGCACCATTTGATGATTTGATATACATAAACGTTGGGAAATGGTACCACAACCAAGTTAATTAACACAACCATCACCTCACATAATTATCATCTTTTCGTAAGAAGGCTTAAAATCTACTCTCTTCCAGTATTTAGTGCAGAATCAACTATATTCACCATGTTGTATGTTAGATCCTCAAGGACTTATTCATCTTACAACTGAAAGTTTGTACTCTTTGACCAACATCTTCCCATCCATTTCCCCAACTCCCAGCCCCTGGCAGCCACCATTCTACTCTCTGTTTCTATGAGTTTGACTTTTTTTTTTTAAGATTCTATATACAAGTGTTACTATATAGTCCTTGTGTTTCTCTGTCTCATTTCACTTAGCATAATATCCTTTAGTTTTATTCTCATTGTTGCAAAGGATTTCCTCTTCTAAGACTGAATGATATTCTGCGGAACATATCTGTATCATGTTTTCTTATCTATTCATCTGCCAATGGACACTTCACTCGTTTCTCTATCTTGGCTACCGTGAGTAACACAGCAATGAACTTGAGAGTGCAGATCTCTCTTCAAAATTCTGATCTCATTTCCTTCACATATATATCCAGAAGTAGTGGAAACATAAATTGCCACAGCCATTATGGAAAATACTTTGAAGCTTCCTCAAAAAAACTAAGAAGATTTATTTTTAAAGGCCTACTTTCAAGCCTACTTATATATAAATCTCTAGTAGTCCATTGGAGCTGCCATACAAAGTACCCCAGGGTGGTTTGAATCACAGAAATTAATTTCCTCACAGTTCTGGAGGTTCAAAGTCTAAGGTCAGGGTGTCAAAAGGGCTGGTTTCTGGTGAGGCCTCTCTCCTTGGCTTGCAGATGGCTACTTTTTCACTCAGTTCTCATATGGCCTATTCTCTGTGTGCACACATCCCTGTGGTCCCCTTTGTCCTCTTAGAAGGACGACAGTCCTATTGAATTAGGGTCCCACCCTTATGTCCTCATTTAATCTTAATCACCTCCCAGAGACCCTATCTTCCAATATAGTCACATTGGGTATTAGGGTTTCTAAACATGAATTCGAGGGGAGGGGGTACAATTCCATTCACAACAAACTCTCATATTCTCCCAGCTATTAAGGAAATAAAAGTTCTTAATTCCTTTCTTTTATGTAAAATTTATCACAGTTTCAACCTCTAAAACTTTTAAATCTCAGTATTATGAAGACTACCTAAAAGTGTACCTAATGTTTCCCAGTTGTAAAAGTCCTTACAAATAATATACTGTTTATAAAAAGAGAATTCTAAGGTTTCCAAAATTATATAGAAATTATTTTTAATTGAAGGGCATTAGTACAATCTAATTGTGAGATATTGCTAAATAGAGCCCAGTTGTATTAACCAAATGCCTTTTGACCAATTATATATGTTTCCTAGCCACAGACAAGTAAGGAAAATATATGGAGACATGTCACTTGTTTAATAGAATATCTACTTATGAGAAAAAGGACACACGCAAAAAGTGCTCTTTCGAATTATTTAATAATCTAACATGCCTCTTGTTACTATCTGCCATGCATTGCCACAAACACTCTCAGGAAACCATTTCTACCAAATATCTAGCTATCTCATGGTAGCTTTTGCTTATTTTCAAATGGCAGCAAAATATGAATGCTATTTTAACTGAATAAATTACCAAAGCAAAAAAATATAATTTTTAACTCAGAATTCTTGCCAAAGATGCTTTTTTTCCCCCCTGTGATAGACACAAGCTGGTACTTCAGGGTTTTTGATGACCTGCTGGGGTAACCATTACCCCCAAATCCACACCATAGCAAGCATCTCATCCCACTGAGAGACTCTAGGATGACTGTTATATTTACCCTTTGGGATAAGTTTTCTTTTGCCTTTTTACATGCTCGTGCATGTTTTGGCAATGCATATCCAAATTTAAATTAAATAGTTTAACAGCTCTCTTTAGCATTTATAATGTGTTTCAAGCACACATACATTACTAAGAACACAATATGAAAAGAAAGTTAGCATGTGGAAAAACAAATTCCAGTTAATTTACATGCAGTGTGGTAACGTCTCCTCACCTTGTGAATTGAGTTCTTAAAACTCCATGCAAGAGGAATCCATAGTCAAAAACACAGTTGGAAAATGGGGTCCAACAATTGCCTTCACAGGATGTTTTTACTGGGCTTAAATGAGCAACACTGAGCTCTATACTATTCATTTCTATTCACTATGTCATGCTCACGTAAAACATACCAGTTTTTTTTTTTTGTTTGTGTGCAATTTCAACAAGTTGCTTGGCATTGTTGGTTTGCTACAGCTACTATGCACACTAAGAAACTTGTGTGTGTGTGTGTGTGTGTGTGTGTGTGCACGTATGTGGTTTCTTTTCTTTTTTTTCCCCACTTCAGCTCCTGCAATGCTCAGCACCGATTTGATAACTCAGAATTGTGGATTTTAGCTCTCCAAGTTCAATCTCCTTGTTCTAGAGACAGAATCAATATGCATGCTTCAAACGGAAAAGGCCTTGGGTAACTTTCCTTTAACTGACTCACCTAAGTATTAATAACTATGTCCCCAAGGCCTTCCATTCCTCCCCGGGCCACCATGCCTGTGTTCTGCCCACGATAATATCAGACCAACACACACACCTTCAGCAACTCTGACAGCCTTCCCCGCTCCCGCTGACAGCATCAGAACATTGCTCCAGGGCTGGGCCTCACTTGGCTTCAGCTTCTCTTTTCTTTGTAGAAGTTTCTTAGCAAAAAAGCCCCATCCCCTTCTTAATCAACTCTCTTTTTTCTCGTTTCCTGCAACCACAATTCCCAATGGGCACAGACCAGGACCAGAATTTTTCCAGTTCCCTAAAGATTACCGGGCTGTATTGGTGGCATACTCAGATGTTGCAAGGGGGTACTGATGGCTGGAGAGAGACCATCCTCTCTCTGTATAAGGCCAGTAGAAAGAGGCAGCAACCAGCCCAGATAGAAATCCCCACTGATGCAGGCAGAACCCAGGGCCAGGATGCAGGACCCTAGGGGTGATGGAGAGAACTGGCTCCCAAAAGGGGCAGCTTCTCTAGTGTATTTACAACCATCATTTTAGTGCAGGGGTCCTCAAACTTTTTAAACAGGGGGCCAGTTCACTGTCCCTCAGACCATTGGAGAGTGCGCACTGTGGGCCCGGGACGAGTCAGCTGCTAAGCAGGACAGGCAGCGGTGGCAAAAACACCCGGCAGGCGGGATAAATGTCCTAGGAGGCCTGCATGTGGCCTGCTGGCCGTAGTTTGAGGACGCCTGTTTTAGTGAGTGCACTGTCACTGAAAAGATTACCTATGACAGCCAGACGTGGTCAACCCTCAGTCAGGAAAGCAGGTTCTCTCTAGTGCCATTTTCCACTCCATTGAGAGGAACTAGAGGAAGTCACATGCTCACCCACACCGGCTGAGACTTTATTGTCAACACACAACCCTACCCTCAGAGGTCTAGCTGTCTGTATTCTTCCTCTGGTAAGTGACATCCTCTGTGTTACCAGACATAAGCATGTTTACATGTCAGGGAGGCTGACACTGGCGAGGGGACAGTTCCAGACTTCTGGGCAAGAATATGCCACACGTTAACGGAAATGAAGGCCGTGTCTCCAAAGGCAGACATCATTTAAATTATGTCCCCAAGAGATCGCCTGCCTGTTCCATTGAACCTCAGCAGCCTCAACCATTTCGACACCAAGAATAACTTTCTCTTTTTCAACTCCAGCCCGAAACAGGAAGAAGAAAACTCAGCTAGAGGAACATCAGTATCTCAACTTCAGAGCTGGGGACATGGGACAAGCCACCACATCGCCGACCCCACCAAGAAAACCGAAAAAAAAACCCCCAAACACGTCATCATTTCTGCTGGAGTTCCCGCCTTCTGTTACGAAGAAATCCTCCATAATGAATTCTACACGTGTCTTTCCCCAATTTGCCAGGGAAGGGTGTAATTATCACTCACGATCTCACTTAAAATGAAAATATTTTAATTATGACACTAAGCTGCACAATTTTCACTTCAATTAAAAGTGCAATAATACTATATAAAAGCTTAGGATGAGGGTCAAAAACCACCTTTAAAAAAAAAAAAACTATCTTCATTTTAATATACTTCTAAAAGGCAAAAATTGAAGCACTCGCTTACCTGACGAACGAAGCTATTTGAGGTAGTGTCAGATGAAGTGCTTCCATCCGAGCCTTTGAATCTGTTTTTCCTTCTAGCCCCTTTTCCATATGACTACAAAAAAGAAAAAAAGAAAATTAGATTATTATTAGATCCCTTCTCAGGAATCTAGGCTTAGTTGTAGAAAAATGTCAAAGACGAAAACAAGTAAGAAATTGGCATCATATGAGCACCATTAGAACCTTTTTACTGGTGGAATCACAAAAATGTATCTGAAATCAGTGAATACGTAGGGGAGAGAGATTTCTAGACAAAGCATTTAACAACTAGTTAAATTAAAACAATGTAGGCTATCTGTAAATACATTAGCAATCAAGAAGCAACAGCTTGTAAAGACAAAGCCATTTAAAAAAAAATAAGCATTTAAGAACAGGGTAATAAAGGTAAGATGATTTGTTTCAATGATAGGATTGGGCCAAGTACAAATATCTACAAAAATGAACTTGCTTTTTCTATTATATCTACAGTTTACATTCAGAGCTCTCAGAGCAAACTATGCACCGATCTATGTTTAATTCTAACAGCAGCTACAGTTATTGCAAACATTAAAATATAAGTGGGAAATGGTAAACACTGAGCATTAGAATTAAATACAGTACATAGGTTGGAATCTGTAACCAACCTTGAGAAAATGTTTTAAAGTCTTCAAGCACTGGTCTTCTCATCTTTAAAAAGGGGCTGTTTTAAGTATTAAATAATAGCTCATAGGGTTATTTTAAATGTGAAATAAAATAATGTATTTATAGCCTTCGGTATAAGATCTAGCACATGGTAAGAGTCAAAATAATATATAAAAAAGTGACACCTACATGAGAGTTGGAATGTGTGGAGACAAACCGCACTAAAGCTTATCGTCAGTTGAGAATTATCAGGCTCATAGAGACTTCATCTGATGATCAGAACTTATAAAATTTACTTTTTTTTTTTAAATCGCCAATGTTCAGGTTTTGAAAATGCTACTTGATTATGCTTTCTGTGTTCACATGGTTTTCATTAAAATAAAAATATCTTATAAACCGTAATATATGTGGCACTTAGGCAAGCTGAACCCTATTACAAACATTTGCGTTATGAGTAATTGAGATGAATTTGCAATCAGTGAGCGGGTGGTATAATCTTAAAGCAAAGAATTTTCTTAAATATGTTTGTTCTTGTCAAATAACTCTAAGGGATTTATATAATACAAATGTGTTTCCATGGCATTTAATTAACTCTCAACTTCATAAAAGGAAAGAAAGCTACACTGGGCTTTCATAATGTAACATACAAGGTTTTCCTCACTTAACAGCTTATTCTTCTTACTTATGTAAACATTATTCCGTAAATTGTTGAAAAGTAACATTCTTTTAACAATGTTCTTCCTTTTCCAATTATTATGTAAAGGTTTAGACAGATGTGTCTTCCAAGGGCTAAGAAGGCTAAAATAAAGTATGAAAATCTCCCTCAAGTTTTTTTATTTTTATTTTTTTAAATCTACATTACTCCATATGGAAAAATACTTACTACTACTTTGAAAGTATTTTTAAGGCCTAATGTATTTCTTTGGGGATATAGAGGCAATTTATGTTAAATACACCATTTATCTTTGTGAGAAGCATAAATTATCTTTGAGAACAAAAACAAAACAAAAAATCTTATCCCATGATCATGTTACCTTCCAGTACCATCTTTTAAAGGGTAGAAAAGAATGCCTGTGCAACTCTATCACTGTTTTATCTCAGCTTTTTAATGGCAAATGTTTTACTATTCAGTTGCTTGGGTATGTAAGCTTTTTCATGGTTGCTCACAATTGCACACCAGCACCGTGACAGCCACACAATGTTAAAGACATTCAGTCCCAGCAGAGGCTGTTGTTCTCTGTAAGTTGGAAACATTTAGAAAGTCACATTAATTTTTCCAGCCCCTTGGAAATACTGTTCATAAACATTATTTCAGGTATACTTTGCTACCTATGCAATCAATAGCTAATGATGAAATTATTAGTTTTCAACTGTACTAAGGCAGTTTACATATTAAAAAAACAATGGCACACTGAATTGCAGGCAAACTGGTGATAATGTTGAGAAAAATATATTGTCTTTCAATCACTTTAAATATATCATTCCTCATAAACTTAAGTATTAACTTCTTCATGCCTTAATAGTATTATAGCAAATCCCCAATACACCCTATATGTTTATTAAATAACAAAATAGATATGCTTAATTATATCTGTTCTATTTTACTAATTTCAGAAGTTTTTAAAAAAAACTATACAGTAACCACTCAATAACTATTTTTTATAATATTCAGGATCAAGACAAAAAATGTAAAGCATCTTTAAAAAGCTAGTAGTCCATTTTTATGTACTTTTAAAAACGTTAGTGAAAATGTATACTGCCATTATGAAATTTTCTTTCATCTAATGTCTACATAAAATTAAGTCCATCTTGCTGAAATGATTTGTTTTCCAGTTACTTTAAATCCTTGATAATAAGGACTAGAGTATTTCGTTTAGAAGGAATTAAAAAAAAAATTAAAGGTCAAACCTCTCCGAAATGGAAAAAGACAGGTAAGATTAAGTGTTCAAATATTTAGTTGACTATATTTGAAAAAAGTATAGCTTTCTTGGTTAATTTGCTACTTGAAATGCAGCTACTTTTATTAAAAAATATTTCTAAATAAATATTAAAATATATGAATCACTTATATCTGAAACAGTTAACCATTAGGGCAGCCGGGGTTACAGGAAGGAAAAGGGACCCATCAAAGGGGACTTGGCCAGAGTGCAAGTTGTTACCCACACATTCTCCCTGACACATGCAGGCCCCTAAATACTTTTTGGAACAGTCTACAAAGTCACTAATTTCCACTCATTACAAATTAGCTATATGAAGCTTAATGAAAACAAATTATGTCACCATAGTAAAAAGACAGAAAAAAAAAAAAATCACACCACATATATTTAATGTCCTTTAGTTGTCCTAAAACACTAACCAAGCTAAGCAAGATTTAAGAAACTAGAAAAAGAAAAGGATTTAAGAAATTTCCACAAATATATTAATGACTTATAAAACAATATGAAAAATTTAACTTGATGTTAATACCAGCTTAGTGTGAATGAGTATCTTCTTTGATACTACATAGTTTTAATTGGACTGTAGCCTTAAAAATCAGCAAATAAGCGTTCATGTTTTCACAGGTAATTAAAATCTAATTTCCGTACAATTGAAGGAGACAGTAGTAGTTAATTATAGAAGTTGTCAGTTAACTGGAGATTGCAGCAGTGCATAAAGTTGTCTTGGCAGCCCTTGGGGACAACCTTAAGAATGATGCGGCTTCTATGCTTTGATGCTCATGGTGACAGTTCTCCCACCTACAAATTACACTGTGAGCATAACGCTGATGCCTAAAATTAGTTTCTGTCCCTCTCAATTTGCATTCATTAACGTTTATCCCTTTGAATGTCAGACTTTCCTCATCTTATGGCCCAAACGAAGCCAAAACTATCTAGAGAGAAATCACACTTTAAATCTCCCCCATTTATCTATCAATAGCTTAGCGTGAACGAGGATGTCAGATCCTGTACTAGGCAAGAAGTAGCTGAGATTACCTTCCTGGAAAAGTGAGAAATGATAAGTTGCTTTTTATAGGGATCAGTTGACACAAAAGCAAAAGGAAATTAAGAGGCCACATAAATAGAGGTTATTTTGGGGAGAAAGGAGGGTGCTGGCAGGGAGCGGAGGGAAAAGGGTTGAGTCTAGGAGGCAGAGATCTGCCCAGGAAGGAGGTCACCAAGGAGGGAGGACCAGGGCCAGCCAGGGTAACCTGTGCCTTCTTCACAATCTACCTCCTGCCCAGCTTGGAAAGATCTATGAGACAGGCACAGTTACTTTAAGGGGTGTCATAACTAATTGTTTTCTCTCTCTAGCTGTGGGAGTAATACATGGCATTTGACATACACTGTAGAATGTAGACACGTCCTACAGTCACAAAATCGAAGGGTGCCACCAGCCCCTCTAGGGTTAACACATTTTGCCGAGCTTCTCTTGAAAGGACCAAGGCTCCATCCTGTACAATTCAAAGGAATTAAGTAAAGCAACAGGTAAACTAAATCTTTATAGAAAAATGAAATAAAAAAGAGTAAGACTACCCGAACTAAAGCTCAAATCGCTCAGATATAATATTTCAAATTCTAAAACACTCAGAAATTCTGATTGGCACGTTTGTAAATTTCTCCCGTGCAACAACGAGAAGTAAAATACCACTCGGAAGGAAATTGATGGTGGTTAGGAGTGGAGGTTTTAGCCAAACAGAAAGCACAGGACCCATGACCACTAACTGTGGAGACTGTGCAAGGCTAACTTGTATCACAGACCTAAGAATGTTTCGGAAAAAAACAGTGTTGATTTGGTTTAAGCAACCACTGCTCCTTTTTGATAAAGCTCCTTGTTACAACCATTCGGGATGTGGCCATTACCAGGCTGTGTTACCACAACGTGCTTGAAAAGCATCTGGCAAACTCAGCTGGGGTACAATCAACTGGGATCTGTTGCTAGGAGCAAAACAAACAGGCCCTCTGGTTACTGTCTGTTCATTTTCAGGTGTGACTGGAGGTGCCGGTTTACAATGTCTTTGAGGCCTAAATTGCTGCAATCCTGCTCTTGTTTCTCTTCTATATCCTCTCCTGTCCCCATCCTATTCTCAAGCTTTGTCACCTGCTTCCCAGCCAGCCGGCCTTCATACAGGAGCTATTCAACTCCCCAGAGAATTACCATTTCCATACTTTACAATAATGCTGTCCAAAATAAACGAGTCACTGGATCATTGAAATTTTCCAGTAGCCACACTAAAAAGGTGAAACAGCAACAGGTGAAATGAACTATAACAATGCATTCGCTGTAACCCAATATATCCAAAATAGTCTCCTTCCAAAGTGTAAGCAATCTAAAATTGACTAACGAAGATGTTTTAGAGTCCTTATTTCCTATTAAAGTCCTTGAACTCTGGTGTGCATTTCATATTTACAGCTCATCACAGTTCAG